GAGGGAGAGACTGAAGGGTTGAGGAAGGGCCGGGGCTGAGCCTTCCCTGACCCCTCCTGGTTGGGCGGGGACCTACAGGTAAGCTCTTCCCCATTGGTGGTCTCTAACCAGTTAGGAAATGGGTGGGCACTGCTGGTGCCGCCCACCTGCAGGTGTGGCCAAGGCCTCAGCAGGCCTGGCTGATCTGTTCTGTAGAAAGAGTATCCCGTGTGATATACCTCATTGTTTTTTTTTTTTAAGTTACCATTGTTCTAGCTCTTGTAAAATAGATTACAAATTTTTGCTCTAAACATTGTCCCTTAAGACTTTTATTACAGGAATATACATGCACAATTAAGACCTTTTAAAATGTATTTTTTAGCAAAAGATATTTGTGGGATGTAGATTTTCCAAGTCACTGCATGTCTGAAATTTTTTTCTTATTTAGCTTCAATTGATCGCAAATTTAGTTGGGGCTAGAATTTGACATTAAACTTAATTTTCCTCAGAACTCCTAAGTTTTGTGTCCAGTGCTCTGGAAGTATCTGAGGTTAGAGATTCTTCTCGTGCCTTTAGGGGAAGGGTGACTGCGCCTCCTGGTTGGTTTGGAACGTTTCAGATTACATTTTCTTGTTTTGGTTCTTTGTTTTTTTAATTTTACTTTTGATGATGTTTACATAGTTGGTGAGGGTGGGAAAGTGAGTGAGACCATTGTTTACACGTTTTCTTCTTCCTGTTCCTGTTTATTTTGATGTGTTTAACAATGGAATAGGGGGAGAGAGAGAGAGAGAGAGAGAGAGAGAGAGAGAGAGAGAGAGAGAGAGGCAGACAGGCAGAGAGCCGGGCAAGTGCTCTCCACGGTCTCTTCACCGATTAGTTCACTGCCCAGACATTGCACCAGCCAGGTGTGAGGCCTGTGCCAGGAATCCCGCCTGCTCTCCCGCCTCGTGGCAGGACCCGAGAGCTCTGCCCGTGGCAGCCAGTTGTGTGAGAAGCACGGGACTCAGTCACGGGAACTCTGTGTGGTAGTGGGCTTCCCACGTTGTGATTTAACCTGCCGCACCACGTGGCCTGTCCGAGATTGTACCTTTAGTATTGCAATCTCCTTTGGTCTGGACAGTGTCTTTTGTTCAGTTACTGAAGACCGTACTTGCAGGCTTCTGTGCGCTATGTCCAGAGCTCAGTTATTTTTTCCCCTTTTCATCACTCAGCCCTGCAGAATGCTTCATTTCTGCCCTTTCAGTCTTTTTTCTTCTTCTTTCTAAAAATTCCTTGTGGTGGAATTAGGATTTCTAGTTTTCAAATGAATTTTTAAAAAGATTTACTTATTTATTCATTATTGGAAATGTCAGACATACAGAGAAGGGGAGAGACAGATCTTCCATCTGCTGGTTCACTCCCCATGTGAGCGCAATGGCCAGGGCTGAACCGATCTGAAGCCAGGAACCAGGAGCTCTTCCAGGTCTCCCATGTGGTTGCAGGGTTCCAAGACTTTGGGCCATCCTCCTGCTTTCCCAGGCCACCAGTAGGGAGCTGGATGGGAAGCGGGGCTGCCGGGATTAGAACCGGTGCCCATATGGGATTCCAGCACATTCAAAGCAAGGACTTTAGCCACTAGGCCACGCTGCCGGGCCCTTGTCTGTTTCTTAGTGATGATTTTTCTCAACTATCTGGTGAATGAGAGTTTAGTTTATGTCTGGAGTTTTGGTTCTGAAGTGGTTTTCCTGTTTTTAGTTTCAGTTTCCATAAGTGAACTTTCCACATTGTCACCCTATTTTATATTATGAAGCGGAGGTCTGATTATGTCATTGTGCGTAACAATGAGATGCTCATCCTAGGCTTGTCTGGGATCTGAGTCACCCGGCACACTGGACGCTCGTGCTGCCTTTGTGGCTTTGCGAGGCTGCAGTGAATCACCACACATTGGTGACTTGAAACAATAGCAATTTATTCTCTCTTCTTTTTAAAGATTTGTTTTCATTGGAAAGGCAGATTTACAGAGAGGAGAAACACAGAAAAATATCTTCTGTCCACTGGTTCACTCCCCAAATAGCTGCTTTGGCCAGAGCTGAGCTGATCTGAAAGCAGGGGCTGGGAGTTTCTTCCGGGTCTCCCGTGTGGGTGCAGGATCCCAAGGCTTTGGGCCATTCTCTAGTGCTTTCCCAGGCCACAGGCAGGAAGCTGGGTGGGAAGTGGAGCAGCTGCAACACAAGCTGGCGTGTACAAGGGGAGATCTAGGTGCTGAGCCATCACGCCGTGCCTAGCATTTTGTTGTTCTCTTACAATCTGGAAAGCAGTTACTGTCATCAGCATTCCGGGCTTGAGATGAGGGTGTCAGCAAAGCTTCACTCCCTGGATGCGCTCTAGGAAATGGTCTCTTCCTTCCTTCTTCCTGCCTCTGTTGGCACTAGCATTTTTTGTCTGAGTGCAGTCCATCCAGTCTCTCAGGCCACCGTCTTCACATCTCTGCTGTCTTCACATGGTTCTCTCTTCTCTTTGCTCCAAAGCTCCGTCCACAGCTGTCTTTTTCAGGACACTTGTGATGGCATTTAAGGTGTGTTGGATAGACTAGGATCATCTCCTTGTCCCAATATCCATAATTTAGTTATACCCAGGAAGCTGCTTACTCCTGACATTTAGAGGTCCCAAGTTCTTGAACCTAGTACCTTTGTAAGTCAGTTAATCTGTTTACTTCAAGTAGTTAGCTTATCTTCTACAGCTTATCCTCCTGGTACTATCTTTGTACTTTTGCAAATACTCTATTGCCTGCAGTTGTTGCATACTTTGAAAAAAAAAATAAGCATACTGACTGAGCTTGTGAGTTCCTAGACAGGATTGCTTTGGCCTGTTTTTTTAAAAGATTTATTTATTTTTATTACAAAGTCAGGTATACAGCGAGGAGGAGAGACAGAGAGGAAGATCTTCCCTCCGATGATTCACTCCCCAAGTGAGTGCTGGTGCTGTGCTGAGGCCGGTGCTGTGCTGATCCAGAGCCAGGAGCCAGGTGCAGGTGCAGGGTCCTAAAACATTGGACCATCCTTGACTGCTTTCCCAGGCCACAAGACGGGAGCTGGATGGGAAGTGGAGCTGCCGGGGTTAGAACTGGCGCCCATATGGAATCCCAGCGTGTTCAAAGCAAGGACTTTAGCTACTAGGCCATGGTGCCGGGCCCTTCTCTGTTTCTTAATGCACTGGGTCTGTGTTCTTAAGTACTTGTAGGAGACGTTGGTTTCCTTGCACTAGAATCTGTCATTGGGCCATTTAATTAATAAAACAGAGGAAAGTAAACAGGCACATATGCCAAAGTTTGTGCAAGGTCGACTTCTCTAAAGATATGCTGAGTCATCAGAATGTGTATCATCAGCTTTTAATAAAAGATGTGTTTTATTTTTATTGGAAAGTCTGATTTATAGAGAGAGAAGGAGGGAGAGACAGAGAGGAAGATCTTCCACTCACTGGTTCATTCCCCAAATGGCCGCAATGCCTGGAGCTGATCTGAATCCAGAAGTCGGGAGCTTCTTTTGGTCTCCCATGTGGGTTTAAGGGTCCCAGGTCTTGAGCCATCCTCAAGGCTGCTTCCCTGGCCACCCGGAGGGGGCTGGAAGGGAAGTGGAGCAGCCAGGATATGAACTGGTACCCTTATGGGATCCCGGTGGATTTAAGGTGAGGAGGACTTCAGCTACTAGGCTACTGCGCCAGGCCTTATGCTATCAGCTTTTCCATATGTTCTCCGAACTGGCTGTCCTTTCTTCCAGATGTCAGTATTCTGTTCCTATATATTTTCATCACTTTGCTTTCTTTTCATTGAAAAAAAAATCAGGTGGGGAAATTGATAGTTTTTCAATTTTTATTTCCTTTTGAGGTTGACTTTTTTTCCCATAGTTAAATGGAGATGATTTTTTTCTGTGAGCTTCCTGTTGATGCTGGAGTTAAACTTTTAATATTAAACTTCAAAGTGTGGAACATGGAACTAAAACTTTTCTTTCTTTCTTTCTTTCTTTCTTTCTTTCTTTCTTTCTTTCTTTCTTTCTCTCTCTCTCTCTCTCTCTCTCTCTCTCTCTCTCTCCCTCCCTCCCTCCCTCCCTCCCTCCCTCCCTTTCTTTCTTTCTTTTTTATTTTTTGTTAAGATTTGTTTATTTACCTGAAAGGGAGGGAGGGAGGTAAGAAGGGAGTTAGGTCTTCATGCGCTGGTTCGCTGCTCAAATGACTGCAACTCTGGAGCTTGGCCAATCCATAGCCAGGAGCTAGGGCCTTCCAGGTCTCCCACATGAGTGCCGGGACCCAAGCACTTTGAGCTATCCTTTCGTGCTTTCCCTGGCACATCAGCAGGGAGATAAATTGGATGTGGAGCAACCCAACTCAAAGCAGTGCCGTTATGGGATGCCAGCGCCACAGGTCATGGCTTTACCTGCTATGCCACAGCACTGTATCATGGTACAATAGGCCAGTTTCTAAATCCATGCCTGATAAAGATCTCTAAAGAGTACATGAAAAACATGCTATGAAAAAACTATGTATGGATTTAAGATATTTAAGTAGTTCATCAGCACCTTTTTTGGACTTTATATCTTTTCTTTCTAGCATTGAATAGTTTTCATTGTTTGGGTGTAATACAGTCTGTTTATCCAGTCCTCTCCTGAGCGACATCTTGGGTCCTTCCAGCTCCTGGTGATGAAGGATAAAGCTGCTGTGATGATCCACGTTCCAAGTTTTTGTGGGAACGTTATTTTTTTTTTTTTTAACTTTTTGTAGTAATTACCAGATGGATGATTGCTGTGTCATAGGGATAGTACAGGTTAAGATTTTTATGACACCATCGCACTGTGCACCAAAGTAGTGGTTTTATGTTTGTTTCCCACCGACAGTGCCTTAGTTCCGATTGCTCCACATCCTTACCTGCATTTGCTGCTTTGGGCTTGGTCGTTCTGGTGGCTGTGTAGTGTATATGCTGCTCTTTTTTGGTATTTGGTGCTGATTAACCAGATTATGAGTAATGTTTGTCTTTACGTTTGTCTTAACAGGTATTGACACAAAGGCAACTGCCTTGAAGACACTTGTACCTCCTACCATTGTCAACTGGTAAAATACTTACTTCTTCTTATTATGAAATATTTTATTGATCTTGAATGTTTTAAATTAGTACCAGTTATAGTTTAACTGACAAAAGGCAAAAGTTAGAAATTCTTCCCATTTTTTGTGGAATTACTATTAAAGCTATGAGGAGGTAATTTTGTACTTATTTTAATCTTGTACAAATTCAGTGAAACATGAAACGATGGTGTTTAGCTGTATTGTCTACTTTCCTTTGTTCAACTTGAATTTCATTAAGTGTCTCTGCAGAGGGTTTGAATGCAGTAGGTCTTTCAAATATGTCTTAGTTTTTTTAGGAAATTTCTAAATGGATGTTTTAATAAGAGTCATAGATTTGAGATCAGAAAATAGCAGTGATTCTTTTGTTAACCTAGAAAATTCTGCATTATAATTACGCTTGTTCTGAGGTATAAAAATGATGCAGCGTAGTTTCATTCTCCTGCTCTTGTGGCTTCTGAGGTAAGTACGATTTTATGGACTTGTGGCGTAAGAATTTAAGACTCGAGTGACCTGAAGGTTTTTAGCATTCTGTGAAATGAAAGTACAATGGGCTAGGACTGTTACAAGGTCACGTGCTCTGAGTCACTGAGCAATTAGTGACTCATCGACTCATCGTTGCTGACATTCGTCTTCTGTTTTAGAACATCTTTTTTGTTTGTTTAAAGATTTTATTTTATTTATTTTATATTGGAAAGCCAGATATACAGAGAGGAGGAGAGACAGAGAAAGATCTTCCACCCATTGATTCACTTACCAAGTGATTGCAACGAGCAGTGCTGCACCGACCCAAAGCCAGGAGCCAAGAACTTCCTCCAGGTCTCCCATGCGGGTACAGGAACCCAAGGCTTAGGCCGTCCTCGACTGCTTTCCCAGGCCGCAAGCAGGGAGCTGGATGGGAAGTGGAGCTGCTGGGATTAGAACTGGCTCCCTATATGGGATCCTGGCACGTGCTAGGATTATCTGCAAGGCACGGCATTGGGCCCCAGAACATCTTTTCAAAATGTTTGTCCACATCACTTGAATTTACTGGTCTTTATATGTTTGAATGATCTAAAACAATTATACAATTGATATGCTTGTTATGTCTCTTGCTAAAAGCTGTCAGTAGGAGAGAATAAGAAGATTGGAAACCTTCCTTAGTCCTGAATCTTTCCCCAGTGATTAGCCCTTTACAGTGTGGAATGTATCCATGCTGGAACTGGGTGCAGCAGGATTTCCATCTTTTAATGAGGCAGGAATTAAGGAAAAAGCTGTTGCTGGGCCTTCAATTTTTTTTAAAGATATTATCCTTCTTTTATTTATTTGTTTATTTTTATTTCCTTTGTCCTCCTCAAATATCCCTTTGTCCCACCGAATTCCCCTATATTATTACTATAGCGTAGCTCTTCGTGAACAGTCACATGTTCATCATCGCGGGCAGGGACAATGGCAGAGAGTCCAGCCTCCCATTGTCAAGATACAGCTGATAGTTTCTTTGGGAGTCCATCTTGGATCTGGAAGTAGAGATGCACACTGCAGTGCATCCTCCATCTGGACATGATAATCTGTATTACACAGTCGCCACACATCTCTCTTAAATGAAAAGCCACAATGCAAAATCAACAACAGAAGAAAGATAGAAATGTATAACAACTTGAATTTCTCAAGATGTTTTGATAATTCAACAGTCCTGAATCAGTATCAAATTTCTCCCAAATTCACTGGCTACTATAGTCCTCCTTAGTGTCTCTGCCCAAATCTTCACTGCCAGTGATTGGCTGGGGCAGTTGATAAATTTTTTTCTGTCCTCCATCCTCTGTTATAGTGCCAGGTGTCCTTTGGAGGCTCCTTGTACATTTGGATATGGTGTCCTCTGCTCCGTCTGAGCCACTGAGGAGGCCCAGCTCTGACACATCCACTCCCATAGTCAGCGCATGGAACCTGCAGTTCTGTGCCTGACAGAATTTGACCCTTGTACCAGCATCTGCCAGCTGATGTTGCAGCAAAGTCCAGTCAGTCCACACCGACACTGACTTATGCATGTACCAGAAGGTACAGACAGCCCAGCTTGGCTTTTCCCTGGTCCAGCTCACATGTAGGCCTTTGGATGTGGCCCTGGCTGGCCTGATGCGCCTCCATCTTGGCTCTCATGCTCACCAGTGTGAGTAGTGGCCCAGCAGGGGGGTCTTCGCAGCCCCTTCATCGGGGCCATCCCCCCCCCCCGCCATGGTTAGGTGCTGCAGCCCAGTCTCGCACAGCCCCCTCACCTCGGCATTTACCAGTGGGCACTGTAGCCTGGCCAGGTCAGGCCCACCCCCAATTCCAACTCACACTGGTGGGGGCTGCAACCTAGACCAGCCCTGCCAGCCCCCAATCTTGGCCCTCATGTGGTCTGGCTGGTATTGCAACTCTGACCCAGCCCAACCCACACTCCATTCTGGCACTCGGATTCGCCAGTTGATGATATGGACAGACCCAGTCTGGCCTGCCCCTGACCTGCACCAAATGTATGCTGGTGGGTACCGTATTTTGTCCTGGTTTGGATTGCTCCCCATCTTGGTTCTTGCACTCACCTGCATGGACTGTGTCCTGACAAGAGTTTCCCAAGCTCCTCCATCAGAACCTCTTCCAATGCCAAATTTTGTGCACACCGGTGGGTCCCTGAGCCAGCCCTACTTAGTGGTGGGCTTTCATTCTAAGGTAGACCTTTCCTTGTCTGTATCTCCTTGAGGAGTGTTTGCTGCCAGGTGAGGAGTGCTGTGAAGTGACTAGGCATGTTAGAACAAGTACAATACTCCTACAGATGTTTTTGAGTGGTAGTTGGTTATAGGAACCACAGATTTTGAATTTCTAGCTTGAACTGCTTCAGGAGTTTAGGCTTGCAGTGAAATTGAGATAACAAAGATAATATATGATATTAAATAATAATAAGTAGTACTGCATTGATACAGATAATTGTAGTTAACATTGCCTGGCTTTGGGGAGGAGGTTTTGTTGCTATAGATATTTCTTGTTGTTGTTGTTAAAGATTTATTTTTATTGAAAAGGCAGAGTTAGAGAAGGAGAGCCAAAGAATATTCCACCCTCTAATCTACTATCCAAAGGGCTGCAATAGTCAGAGCTGGGGTCTGAAGCTCGGAGCCAGGAGCTTCCTCTGGGTATTGTCCCGGGCTCAGAGGCTGGATGGAGAGTGGAAAGTGCTACAGGCAGGGGCTTACCTTGCCATGCTTGGTGCGGACCCTTCTCATAGTGTCTTAAATTGATTTTCTGTCCAGAATGTTTGACTACCTTATTGGTTATGTAGCAGAAGTTCCTGCAAAGGTTAATGATGCTGATTTGCAGCCTTGTGTCTTTGCAGTATCATGTAGCAAAAACACCTGTAGGGTCAGTGTTGTTGAAAGCTTTTGTTACTACTTCAGGGTTTAAAAAGGGAAAATCCTTTCTACCTCAGTGAAGAACTCTATTACACAACGCTGAGATAATCAACTGTGTGTTAAGAGTTTAACCTCCTTCCTATGGCACAGGGATTGCAGGATACACAGTCAGTGAATATTTTAAAACCTTATGTATTTTTTATTACGCTTTTAATCTTGGGAAACGGAAAAGAAAACATGTTTAGCAGATCCGGGTTCCCCTCTAAAGAAACTTCCTGATAACAAATAATAGTTGCTGGTTGTATTTTCCATTACAGCTCTGGGAGGAAGAAAATAGTTCTGTCTGCCTTTTTTGACCCTGGTTTCTCATTTCACCATCAGTGCTTTAAATCATTCATGGAGGACCCTTTTAGGTTCTGTAGACTGTTCTCATGTAACTTTTATTTTTCCGGAAAGGAGAATCAAAAGAGGTATATAGTGAGGGGCTTTTATTCTTTTTTTTTTTTTTTTTTCTTTTTTCTTCTAACAAGTGTTAGCCACAGAATTTACTTAGGGGATGTGTGTATATTTGAAACGCTGAGTGTGCTTTGGAGAGAGATTGTTACAGCAAAGCAGTTGAGACCCGGAGTCCTACAATAAAAGGGTTTGTGGAGTCATTGCGTGTGATGACCAGAGGAGACGCTTGGGCCCTGTTGACAGCTCAGCACAGCTTCTTCCAGTGGAAAATGTTCCTTGGACTGTAGCTCATCACCTTCAGTAACTAACACTTAGTGAATAAGACCTGAGTCTGTGACATGGAGAAGAGCCGAGTGGGCAAGGGGGCCTAAGCAGAGAGGAGTTTAGGGGTAGGAAGTAATACATGAGAAGTCGTTGTTTCCGAATTGTTTGGGGTTGTGAGCAGGATGAGCTGGCATTTATGTTAAAGATTTTTAAAAAAAATTTATTTACTTTTTGAAAAGCAGAGCCATAGAAAGAGCGAGAGCTTCCAACTGCTGGTTCATTTCCTGTAGGTTGCAACAGCCAGAATTGGGCCCATCTGAAGCCAGGAGCCAGGTGCTTCTTCTGGTTTCCAGCATGGCTGCTGGGCGGCAAGCACCTGACCCTCTGTCACTGCATTCTCAGCACACTGGCAGGGGCTGGATCAGAAGTGGCACAGCTGGTGTGGGGAGTGAGACTGCTGGTCCTTGCGGGATGCATGTGCCAGACAGGCTTAAATGAAGAGTCTAATAAATATTCAGAAATGCGCCAAGATCTTTGGTTCTCAGCATTCCCCCTTCCCTCCTTCTATCACTGTAACTAAATTTAAGATCTTACTGTTTTTATCATACCAACAAATAAAACATTTTTGGGCATCTATTTGAAAATTCTGGTTTTTGAGAATTTGTATTTTGTGTTTGCATATTTTATGTTGCTTATGAAATTACGTTTTATAAATTCCCTTATCTGTACAGTCCACTTACATACACCTCATTAGAAAATATGGAGTTGGGTTTATCTGTAGATATGAAATCTGTAGTAGCAGTGCATGCTTGGTTATTGTAAATTGAAAATACAGAGAAGAAAATCAGATTATGAGGCAAAGTAACAAAGAGAAAAAATGCCCCCTCTGAAGCATTTGCTCCCCACTCCCCGCCC